CTGTATTATACTAGTTCTGTTAGTATATAATGACCGTGAGGCACAATGATAATATAACCATAATTAAATATTCTTGTATTCTATTTCGTGAGGCACAATAATAATATAATCATGATTAAATATGCTTGTATTCTATATTCTTCTAGGATTTCTATTACCATCATTAATTATTCCATAGTTTAGCATAATTAAATAATTTGACCAATACAATGAGTTTGGACGGGAAAATGCTAGAAGGGGAATTTTACTTTTAATGATATATAGATAGACAGATATAGATTGTTCTATTGTATTGCGAATAAGAATTTTAATGTAGAATTATAGTATGAATATGTAAGTAGGAAATAATATATTTTATTAAGAATTGTATTATACTATTTTATAATATTAGAATAATAATTTTAACCTATAATTATAATACGAATAAAAAAATAGAAAACAATATATTTTATTAAAAAGTAACATTTTTTTAGGATTTGGACAGTAAGTTAAAAGTTCAGGATTGTGTTTTTATATATAGTAAGTATAGAAGTATAGAAGTATAGATAATATAGATAAATAGATAGATATAGATAGATTACAAAGAATCCAATTATAATACGGAGTATTTGATTTTAATTGGTAACTAAATTAAATTACATTAATATCTTTTTTGATTAATTATGATTAAGATCACACAAAAATATTTAATTATCTAGAATATTGATTAAACAAGTTTGAATGAATTAGATTAATTCTTAAGTTCCTGCCTAACAAATGATTTTCACTTGAATCTTTCCATTAATAAGATTAATAGTTCTTAGTATCATAACATAACAATAATACTTATAATCTTTAGTTTGTATTACACTAGTTCTAAACTAAACAAAAATCTTATTTGGGCCTTGGTCTCGTTGGCCCAAAAGAGCCCATAATACAGCGCCGTTATACATTGGTTCTGCTTAAATCCCTTTCTCCGACGGCCGACCGATCAGACTAGCCACACGGCGGCTCAAGTTCTTTCTTTCCACACCACCCCCGGCAACCCACTTCCTCTCTATTTATATATATACATCTGTTTCCTGAAGAAACAAAGAATGGGACGCGAAATGGCAATCTCATTGGACGGAGTTAGGGACAAGAACTTGATGCAGCTGAAGAAGCTCAACACCGCTCTCTTCCCTGTCCGTTACAACGATAAGTACTACGCAGATGCTCTTTCTTCCGGCGAATTTACCAAGCTAGGTCTGCCACTCCCCTTCTCCTTTCGCTTATTTTCCGTTTTTATCAAGCGTGCCTTTCTCCTTTTTGATATTGAGCTAGAGGCAAGAAGATGATGCATCTGTGTTTTTATTTTCTGTCGCTGGGTTTTGCTCATAGTTCAATCTTCTCAAGTCTGTATAAAAATTGTTTATGGTCAATATAGTTTTGATTTTGTTCTTTTTTTATGGCTTTGGAAAATTCTATTTCTGGGTTTTGTTCATCTTCCGATGGGTATGAATGGTTATTATTGATTAGTTCAGTAGAAAAAGTGTGGCTCTTAGCTAATGACAGTAGTCTAGCTACAATGTGAGTGTATTTTATCAACTATTGGTTATGGCTTTCTGTTTATACCCAGCTTTATGGATCTCTTGCCTCATTATTGCTATAAGAATTCAGTAATGTAAGGGAGTAGAGATTGCAGAAAATAGTATATGTATATCAAATTCATGGAAGATGGAAATCTTTTATTTTGTTTTTTTTTTTTTGTTTGAAGCTTTGGTTGCAGGAAAATGACATGGTTAACTGCCCTTGAATTAAAAGGAATAAAAATCCATTAGAACTTGCATTAAGAGAGATAACTACACTTATGGTTAATTCTTCGGAGCTGGTTTTGTAAACCAAGTAGTTTGTTTGGAATTAGTAAAGGACCTATGGTTGATTGGTACTGCAATTAATCATTTAATTATATGGTAATAGTCTGGTAATGTGACATTATATCCACCTTACCAAATAGGAAAGGGAGGTGATGTGATAGTAATGTGGTTGCTAACTTCCACTTAGGAATTCTGACATTGCCTTTCAAATATTCAAAGATTTCCCTTTGAATTAGGGGTGTTTTCAACTTTTTCCCTTTGAGAAATAATTATATAAACACACACATATATGTATAAATTTATGTTTATTTATTTATATATATATACATATATTGACGGCATTAAAGTAAAATACACATTCTGATAGAAATGGTTACCATCAACTAAACACGTTAGTATCGCATTCCTGCAATCTTAACGAAACACAGAATTGAACATATTCTCAGTAATGTGCATAAAGTAATGATGTTTAATGTTTTAGAGGATAATCTAACATTCCTTGAACCAAATGCCTTCTTTTTGTGGAACAAAGATGTTGATTGAAGAAAATAAATGAAAAGAAAAATCTCTGTTAATCCTCTATCTCTAAGTTTGTAGTCATATATACATAAAAATTCATTTCATAGAAATGTGATCAGCCACAGCTCTCCTCATTTGGTTGGATTTTAGATTGCTGACTGCTCTGTTAAGATGAGCTTAAACGGAGCTAAGATGTGTACAAGATAAGTAACTAAGAAGAGAGTGCTAAGTTCCAGAAAACAAAAAGAGATCACATTAGATTAATTTTACTTCGTATTTGAAGTGTGACATAAGACAAATTGAGAAAATCAATTCAGATAGTTTGGATGTGTTTACTGTATACATATAGTTTAACCAATTAGGAAAGGAACAGAAAGACCAAAACTTACTTGTTGCTAAGCTACTAAGAAAGATACACTACTATGACTGAAGGGAGATGTAAAATTCTTTTAATCAACCTCAACTAAATTAGAATTATGGTTTAGTTTAGATTTTTTGAGGGTATGTGCAAGAATGTAAGTGGATGCAATGGCCTCATGGACTGTTGGACTTGAGATACATGTTGAGATAGTCAATTTGTACAATTTATCAAATCAGGTCATTTTAATGTCTTTTTATGCTTTTACTTTAGGTTGTTTTTAGTAAGTAATTGTATTAAAGGTTGCTCCATCCTTGGTGCTTTTTCAAGAAAATAATCTTACAGTGATCACCTGAGAGTCTGAGACTTGCTACATGAAAATAAGTGCAGTTCTATACATGTAATTAATTGATTATCCAGTAGCCAGGGGTAAAGTCTAAAATTAAAAATCTTCTGTTATCCCCGCCTTCCACTTTCCCCAACAACATGCTGATGGATCTGCCTATGGTGTGGGATTTTTCACCATAACAGATATAAGAAGTTTCTATGACTTGCATCTTGTTTATAACCCTCAATAAGCTTTTTTTTTTTTTCTTTCTTCCCTAAATGTTATGGATTACTTGCTAATTTTTGAAGGTGTCCTATCTAGTGATTGTTTGATAAAATCTTTAGTTTCTTTCTAATGCTTCCAGTTACTCTCTGTTTGCCATAGTTTTTAATATCTTTTTGTTTTACAATCTTTTTATTGATCAACATATCTGCATCCTCTGCAATCATCTATTCTTATTAGTTATCCTTAGCTTATGCTGTTGCGACAATGATGATTAAGAACATATAAAAGCACAACACTTACATTAATATTGTAAACCAAAAAGTTATTTGAGTCAAACATATAATTCTTGAGATATTAGGAAAATATGGTTCAAGTATTACCTTTTTATTGTAAATTTTTCATGAAAAACTCAATTTTCCATTTCCAAATATTTAAGATATATTTACTTAAGAATCTTATACCTATTAAAAAATTGTTATTTAAATGTTAGGATATTAAAAATATGTGCATGGTCTATTGCTTCTTATGCAGCATACTATAGTGACATTTGTGTTGGTGCAATCGCATGTCGGCTTGAGAAGAAGGAAGGTGGGGCTGTTCGCGTATACATCATGACCTTGGGTGTTTTGGCACCTTATCGTGGATTAGGTGTTGGTAAGAAGTCTATTTAACATCTTGCTTATTGTATGCTTCATTTTCTACCCCCTTGAACAAATGAGGAGAAAAAGGTACTTTGGTTACTAAGATAGCAGTGTTTTGGTAAATTCACTCACTACGATATCAAGTGTTGTAAATGTACTCCTTAATTATCCACAAAATAGCCACTTTGGGGGACTAAAATAGCTACCTTGGAGTACAACTAAGGGGTACATTTGTAACACTGATGCCTTAAGGACTGAATTTGTAAAGCGCTTATCATCATCTTAGAGACTAAAAGTGCTTTTTTCCCAATTCAAGTCACATCAGCATTATAAATCATAAATGTGTTTATATGACTTTTTTTGCTGGGTTGGCTCAAACTCGAACTTTCTTGTTTTAGCCTCTATTTTGTTTTCTTGCCAATCAAATTGGCTAAAATGCATCATGGGTTACTATAGATAGTTTTGAAAACTTTTATTTACCTCGAGTCTGCAGAAGTACATGCTCTCTTAATGACTTTTTTAAGAACTAAGGGCAAGATTTGGTGAACAATTACAAAAATGATTTTGAACTTTTCGTTAGTACAAAATTAGTAAATATGGTTGTGGTTTACATACATCTTGGCAAATTCAAGTTTTTGAGTTTAGTTGATTGTGGTTAATACTACTGCAGGTTCAAAGCTGTTAAATCATGTGCTTGATCTCTGTGCTAAGCAAAACATCAGTGAGATTTACTTGCATGTCCAGACAAATAACGAGGATGCCATCAAATTCTACAAGAAATTTGGGTTTGAGATTACAGAGACCATCCAAAACTATTACACGAACATCACTCCACCAGACTGCTATGTCGTAACCAAATTCATCACTCCATTCCAGGCGAAGAAATAACTCGTTCAGTTAGACTCCAAATCGTGATGGTCAAGCTTCAGTTTTTGCAGTGCCCGTGTTTCTGAAACTTGTTATTACTATTATTGGCAGTGTGCTTTTCATGAATCCCATGGGAATGCCATTGATTGTTTTTTTTTTTGAACTCTTGAGTGCAAGAAAATGATAGTCTAAAGAGTTATTAAGGTACTACTGTAAGAGAAACACAATTTTGTTCAATTCAAGACAATTAATTATTAGATTATCTGCATCTCTAATGCAAGATGCAAATCTATGTTTTATACACTGTTTTATCTACATAACCACCGCTTTGATGATCACTATTTTTATACAAGTATTATTTGTTCAACATATTTACAGACTCAATTATTATATTCATTAACAACAAACATATGCTTCAACAGCCATCTCATCACTGTGATAGTGTGATGGCTGCTCAGTAAGCCACGCCGCCAGAGAAAGCATCTCCGTCATGCAGCAACGACTCTGTCAACCAGTAGCCATCCCACGAACCACCAACCCTCTGTCAGTCAGAAACCACTTGTCAAATACCATCATCATATGTATGTAAAATGCATGGAAGAGGACTTCTAGTGGATTAGAGAGATGGGAGCATTTGGCCATTTGATGTTGGGCAAATTATTCTGTGAACCTGGGTCAAAAATACACAATTTACATATTGAATGTTCACAATTTATATACTAAATATTCATAATTTACATACTAAATGCTAATAATTCAAATTGTGAACATTCAGTATGTAAATTGTGTATTTTGGACCCGGGTCTACCTATAACAGTCATTGATGTTGATGGATATCAAGCTCCCTCCCAAATCCCAATGGGTGCATATTGCATATGACCCAGATGACAGAATTTGAAGCCAAAACCCCAAATAACAACAACATATGAACTGAAGTTTGATTTAAATAGGAGCAAAGCAAAAACCTGAACCATGGTAAATTGGAAGTTTTCTTCCTCCTCAGGTCGAGATCCCCGGACCCAAACTCTTTGCTTATACTGATTCTATGACATGCATATATTCAGAAAGTAGAACCACCATTATTAGATGATCATCTTTGTATCAGTTACTCTAAAAACTATGGCCATCAATGATGACACGAATGTCAAACTTTTCATACCTCGTTAACTTGCAAACTACTCAAAATTCTCCTCTCCCGATGCCCAAGCAGAATCCTATAGGTTGAATGGTGAAAAATCCGTCTGAATCGTTCAAACTGCATGATGGAAGAGCAGTCCAGTACAAAACAAGTTACCCAAACAAATCATTTCTTTCTTTCTTTCTTTTGTTCTAGAGTGCAGTTTTTCTGTCGAAAGACTTTTTTTTTTTTTTTTTTTTTTTGAATGCATAGTTCCATAAAATACAATGTTGCGGTGAGAATATTATAAATTTACTGACCTGTCCCAGATCAAAGAAGCGTCCAAAATATGTAGATCTTTCAAAAGGATCAAAGCCAGCAAACTATACAAAAAGTAAAAAAGATAATAAAATTATCCAACTTGAGCATCAGCAGCTTACACAAAAGACAGAGTAATATGTTTTAGTTCAAAATTGCACCCTATACATGACTTCAATTCCGTAATCTTGACGGGGCTGGTCATTAAACATCAATGCATCAAGTTGGTACAGGACAGCATCTTCTGCGCTAAACTATTGAAAATACAGTAGTAAATGGATGCATTTAAGATCAAACAGAGATTTCTATAGTAACTGTTTGGAGTGGAAGTTACATGCTTACACTTAGTCTCGGTCCAAAAGGCCTTTTTTGACGTGATTCAAGCCTAAGAAAACAAATACAATAATTAGAATTCATACTGCCATATAACAGAAATAAACTCAAAGTTAGGCCAAGATAAAGGAAGACCATCCATTTGCTCCCAAAAGAAAACATAATCTAAAGAATGATTACTTAAACCAATTATCCCAACTTTTCCGTTATCAAAAAAAAAAAAAAAATTATCCCAACTTTTCCATTTTCAGTTTTACCAAAAAAGGTATTAACATCATATCTACACTGCAGATATAAACATAGGATTATCATTGAAGGATCTACACTTGAGTAAATGCATCCAAAGTGAGACAAAATTTAAGAAAATATATATACCACCAAAGAAGATATCTAACTCAAACACTGGTGAGTATCTGTCTTAAATGGAGGCTATAGAGGAGCATGTTCTAAAAATTTACACAAATGGCTCAGTACTATACAATCCAAACATGCCAATTTTGATCGGTTCTTCCTCAAAACCTCACATATTCACATTTTCTTGTGTTAGTAGTAAACCAATACATATTCCAACTGATATGAGATTATAGGTTCTCAACATGAAGCAATTTACTCTATCCAAACAATGGCGCCATAATTCAATAATAATGACATAGCCTGCAGCATCCTTTCCATTATGTTTACTGTTTAGTGTTCTATCAAGACTTTTATGGACCATTAAGTCTGAATTTTCATTTATAACCAATGGGAGATTCCATACCTCAGACCAAAATAAAAACATTTTACTTGTTCATTAGTTTATAATGTTCCTCAAGGTAAAGTTTTATGTTATTCTTTTTGTTAATTTATTTTACTAGTTACTGAAATCTCAATGAATTTATAAATAATTCATCTGGCATTATCACAAGCCTAATTTACTTGTTCTCATTAGAATAAATAAATAGTTATAAAAACAAAAGAAATCAATTCCAGTACTTAAAAAAAAAAAACATTTTATCGGCAAAATAAAAATAAAAAATAATTTAGACTGAGAGCTTCAACATTTGGTTTTGTTTTCATTCCATTATAAAAATCCAATTTTTGAACATATATTCAGAACATAAAATTGATCAAAATACGTCAAAACTACAAAAACAATACATATACAGATGTGTGTGTACCAATCGGCTCTGAGGAAGTCAGGGACATCCGCTGAAGCACTGATACGAGAGCTGAAACGTTTGGCGGAGCTGAAGGGCTTGGAGAAGAGGGACGGAGACTGCGGGTTCGAGGAGGGCAGTAACGAGCAAGACGACATCGTATGCTGACTATGCTCCGACCAATTCTTTCCCCTAAAATGGTGTAGACGATTTTTTCCCCTCAAATTTATTTGCTTTTCTTTTTTTAATGTAAACACATAATTAAAATACATAAATAAATATCTTTAAAAAATAATACTCCATAAGAGAAAATTTCAATTTTTAACACACGAGGGGCATTGTTAATTTCAGCACCTGACTTTTAAAAGTGTCAATTTAGTACATTGACTATGTAATTTTTGTCAATTTTTGTCACTCCTACCAAATTGATGGTCAAATTTGACTGAAAAAATTTAATCCAACATTTAATCTATAATAATATGAGGGGCAAAATCGTCTTTTGATCCTTTTTCCTAATTTTGAAAATATGGTCCGAATTAAGCCCAAGTGCAGTTGACTTGGTTCGGCTGTTTATGTGTGGTTCGAATTAAGCCCAAGTGCTTAATTCGGACTACATTTTCACGATTAGGAGAAAGGATCAAAAGACCATTTTGTTCCTCAGATTATAGATTAATGTTGGATTAAATTTTTCCAGCCATTCAAAAAAAAAAAAAATTTCTAGCCAAATTTGACTGTCAATTTGATCGGAGTGATCAAAATTGACAAAAATTACATAATCAAGGTACTAAATTGACACTTTTAAAAGTCAAGTGCTGAAATTAACAATGCCCATATAGTCATGTGACCAAAATTGAAATTTTCTCTACTCCGTAATAAATAGAGCACATATATGGCACCTTTGTGTCTTTCTACCTCTTCATCAAATCTAATCATCAAATCTACCATCTATATACAAATATAATAAGAGGCAATAAAGTTAAGCCTTAATGGAAACAAAAAAAATATATATATATTGGTGTAATTTTTTTTTGAAATGAATTGTTCATATTATTTTTTAAAATTTATTAATTAATTATATTCACTATATTGTCCATTGTATTCTTTTTAAGCTATCTTGTAATTAAATATAAAATTTATAATATAAAATATGTTATATATTTATTTACCAAGTATTTTATTAGTACCATGAAAAAAAAAGTTGAAGTCAATCATATTAATTATTTGGGGTGAATTTGCTAACAAAAATGGTATTCAAATAAGAAACTGAAGCATGGAATTAGCCCGTAATATCTCTGGATTACATTACAGTTGTTCATTTTAAAGGTAAATCATATTTCTTTATTAAGATGATTTAAAATGTATTAATTTTTAGTACCTTATCTAATTTTATTCCTTAAATAAACTTAGAATTTCTCTATCCACAAGAACTCATTCAACAATAATGGTTGAACCAAAAGTACATTGAGCAGAACACCTAAAAGACTGATATGCTTTTATGCTAATAATAACATGTAAATGGTAATTAGATCATTATCTTACGTAGCTACATTTAAAACTCATTATTAAAAATGCCAATGTAGGGTAATAGAACATCGTGAGTTCGTGACACACTTAAATGCTGAGCGAATGTGTCCAAGGTAAGTGAGTCCTAGGAACACATCCCAAGAAAGATATTTCCTAAGAAAGCTTAACATTTTGTGTAGAACAAAAAGATATGTTTGCAATTTAAGTCTTTAATGGCTGAACAATCTGACATGCTCACCTACTATTCGGATAAATGCTCCGGGAGAAACGAGTGGTAGATGCTCACACAAGCACTCGAATAGTTACTCGAAAGCAGTGTTTCAAAAATCTCGCTTAGGCACCCGATTAATCGGCTCCTAGGCATTAGGCGCTTGCCGGCCACCTAGCGTATCACCATAATCGGTGGTCTAGGCAGCCGGTCGGCCGCCTAAGCGCCACCTAGGCATCGACTAGGTCGCCTATTCGACCGATTAGCTATTGTTCCCTTCTTTAAAAAAAAAAAGTTATTTCACTCAAAACGACATCATTTTGAGCGAAATAACCCTAAATTGTTCAAACTCTAAATGTTTTTAGGTTAATATTTAATATTTTATTATTAATTATCAAAGTATTAAATAGTTTATAATTACAAGTCTTAAAAATTAAACAAATTTTTAAAAAATAAAAAATACACGGGCGCCTAAGCGCCGATTAATCGTTGGCTAGGCGCTATGCGCCCCCAAGCGCCTAACGATTTTTTCAATCATGCTCAAAAGGTGACAGAAAGAGGAACGTGCTTGTAACCGAAGAGTCAACCGAGAAGGTGACCAACGAATCGTGTTCCTCCAGTTCAAGCTCATAGAGTGAAAGCTCAGGAGATGAGAAAGGACTGATCTACCTACTTAGTCAACATGAATCATATAAAGAACTTTGCTTAATGGCTAAGGATGAAGAGGTAAATTCTTTATCATCTTTTACCCAATGTGAATCTGATTCTAATTGCAAAGAAGATCTTATGGATTCAGTCTTTAAACTGATGAAAGACTTCAAAAATCTTAAGAGTACTCAATCTAATTGAAAAGAAGAAAATGCTTGACTCTTGGCCGAACGTGAATCTCTCAAGAGTATCGTGCTCAACAATTCTTGGATGATAAGCACAATAGGCCAGTTTGAGAAGCAAGTTCTCTTACTCAAAAAAGAGTGCAAAGCAAGAGAGGTAAGAGAGCAAAAATTGCGTGAGGTCATAGCCACCTTCACTAATTCATTCAAAATAATGGATCGAATGGTGGGTGAGCATTTGAGCAAAGACCGAATAGTGATAAGGCCGGACTAGGCTATAATCTCAGCTCTTCCTCACATGAATTATTGAACAAACCAACAAACCCTTCAATCAGTGGAGGTCTAAATTTTGTGTTCGTTAAAGGTCAACCCTCGCTGCTTGAACCTATAAGAGTTGTTGACAAAGGCAAGGAACCACAAACGAGCAGTCAACCGAAAGGTAACACTACTCGAAAGGCTGTGGAACCTCCGAAAGGTAAACCTTCTAAAGGTAACTCGAAAGGTGTTCAAAACACTACTCAGAACAGACCAAGTGATAAAGAACCGAATGATCAATCCACGAATGGTCAATCATAGAAGAATAATCATTTGAGAGGTAAGCCTAATAACTACTCGGGTAACAACCATTCGCCAAACAGACCGAATTGAAATCATTTGAATGGTAAACCCAAGAGGTTCAATAAGCCTCAAAGATCATCTAAAGACCAATGAGAGGCGTTGGAAGATTATTTCCTTCCGATGAGGACTGACTTATGGTCCATGAATCGATGTCAGAAGCGCAATTTGAACGGTTTCATAGACACAAGAAAACGTTCTATTCTAGGGTGCATAGCAATGTGTATAAACCCCAATTTCAAAAATCATATGCACCTAAAAATCCCAAAAATTTTCACAATATCCCTTATGATTATGAAGTTTTTAATGACTACATTCGACCAAGACTTGGTTTAACTAGCTCAAGGTTTAAATGGATGCCTAAGCTCACTAACCTGCAAGTTCCAAAGGTTATTTTTTGTGGTGAGGCAAGTGGACAAACCAAAGGGATTTCTGATGTCTCAAGGAACGGGCTGACTATAAAGGACGTATCTTTTGTTGAAGGGTTGAAGTTAAACCTTCTAAGCACTAGTCAGTTCTACAACAAAGGCTATAAGGTTGAATTCTCCAAGGACAAATGTTGTATAATCAATGAGGAGAATGGTGAAGTTGTTCTTTTGGCAAGGAGACAAAAACATATATGTAGTAGAGTGGGATTCAGCCAAACCGAATGTTTGCCTGGTAGAGAAAGGTAATTCAGACCTTAGTTGGGAGTGGCACAACAAACTCAACTATCTCAACTTTAAGGCAATTAATAAGCTAACCAGAGGAGAATTGGTAGAGGGACTGCCAAATGTGACTTATAAAAAAGATAAAGTTTGTGAAGCCTATCAAAAGGGGAAACAAATCAAATCTTTATTTAAGTCAAAATCCATTGATTCAAATTCTAGACTTTTGAGTTTTCTTCACATGAATTTATTTAGGTCAGTAGACCTAGTAAGGCTAAGTGGTAGAAAGTATACTTTAGTGGTAGTAGATGACTACACTAGATGTACTTGGATAATCTTCTTAAGGAAAAAGAATGAAATCGATAAGTTACTACTCGAGCTGTTAAAGCAACTACAAAACGAGAAGGGATCAAGTATAGTAAAGATCAGGTCAAGCCTAGGTACGGAATTCATTAATCAAGTAATTAAAGGTTTTTTGTGGTCAATTTGGTATTCTCCATCAACTCTCAACTGCTAGGACACCATAGCAAAATGGTGTTGCCGAAAAAAGGAACCGTACTCCCAAAGAAGCTGCGAGGTCAATGATTTCTCTTTTCATCTTACCTACAAGGTTTTATCTTGTATAGTGCAGTCCAAGATCACGAGTATACCTAAGGTATCTCATAACCTTTACTATTTCCTTCTAGTGCATATCACTAGGGTTACTCGTATATCTACTGAGTCTACTAACCGCAAAGACAATATCCGGCCTAGTACAACTTATAAGATACATCAAACTACCAACAATTCGAGCATATTTTACTTGAGAAATACCCTCTTTATGGTTTTTGGTTAGATGAACATTTGTATCAAACGGTATCCTAGCCAATTGATTATGATCCTTGTTAAATTTTGCAAGGATTTTATCAATATAGTGAGATTGGCTCAACACTATTCATCAGGTCTTCTAATGATTTTAATCCCGAGAATTAAATCAGCCAAACACATATCTTTCATGTCAAATCTCTCCTTTAACATGTTTTTGGTAGATTTGATCATTCGATCATTACTACCAACGATGATTATATCATCTACGTATAAACAAAGAATGTTATACTCGTCTATCTTTTCCTTAACATATACACACTTGTCACTCTCGTATATTTTAAACCCATTTGTTAACATCGCATGGTCAAAGTTCTCATGCCATTGTTTAGGAGCTTATTTTAAACCATATAACGATTTAACCAACCTACATACTTTTCTTTTCTTGGTTCGGAACAACAAACCCTTCGGGTTGTTCTATATAGATTTCTTCATCTAACTCGCCATTTAATAAAGCGATTTTCACATCCATTTGGTGAACTTCCAAATTCCACAATGTGGCTATGGCAAGTATCATCCTAATG